GGCCTCGGGGAGGGCCCGGCGGTCTGCGGGCTGCAGCGGGAAGCAGCCGCGAGCCATGCGGCCGGGACACCAGCGGCACCACGGCGGCCACTCCGTCTGCGGACCAGAACAAGCCCGCGCCTCGCCGATCCTCCGTGTGCACGGACGGTTACAGGTCGCCCCCAAGCGCGCCCCCGAGCATTCCCGCCGTTACCGCAGGCCGGAGCGCGCACGCGCGTCGCCGCCAACCTTAGGTCCAGCCTTCGGCGTCGGCACGTCCGTTCCGCCCACTGCCTCTTATTGGTACAAAGTCTTTTCTTGACCTCCCCTCCGCACAAGCGAGTGGGCTCATCCACATCCGGGGACTCTGACAAACATCGGTGGGTCACGTGATGCCGAGGAGCGGTCCGGAGGTACCAGGTCCCGCGCACTGGATGAGGGTAAGGGTTTTTCTTGCCCGCCTCCTAGGTGTAGGAGGGGCGGAACACGTTCGCTCCCCAGTATTGGGCTTTCTTTAGTCCTGGCAGCCGAGACCCTCAGCTCGCCGTAGCAATCACTTTCCTTACTCACGCAACGCCATACGTAAAGGAACATGCATAGAGATACTAGACCACCCCCGCTGCCCTACTACATTTGGTATGTCCGGCCTCGGGGCCGGAAGCGGTGGTTGTGGGCCGTCTCCCGCGCTGATGCAGACGGTGGTGCCCGGCGAGGGTCATTTGTAGGGAGACGGAAAAGGCTTCCTTTCTCCGATCGTAGAAATACGCGTTTACAACGCTGTAAAATATAGAGCCGGGTAAAATGTGCCACTGTCTCGGGAACACACGCATCGCATGTCTGAAAAGCTTGTCCGGATGATGGGACAAGCTCCCCAGTACTGTGCCCTTCGCCCGGGGGTCTGTGGGACGAGTGAAGTGGATCGTAGCCCCCCTTTCTCAGCCGGGGACTTACGGGACGCCTCCTGAAGGAAGCGATCCGGGAGCTGATGATGTGAGTTAAGCGGAAAAATAGAGAAAAGGATATTGCTCTCCTTGAGGCTTTCCTTTGTAGAAGGGAAGTGTTCGGGAAAGTGGGACTGCTGTCTTCGCACAGTAAATGTGACCCGGGCATTGCCGTCTTGACGCTTCAGCCCCTTAAAGACAAAGCGCCTGAGCGCCCGACCCTGGAAGTGGACTGTGGACCCCGGAGAGCTGACACGTGCGTTGTATTTGGGAAGAGATTTTAGCGATGAGGGCAAAAGGCTTTTAAGTGCACAGGCAGCAGGAGGCGTCTAAGAGACAGGTGGGAAAAGATAGAGCACAAAGGACTAAAAAGGCCTGTGAGGGAATCATTGCAAAATTTACTCCTAACAGTTGGAGACAATAATTCTCTTTCACAAGGCTGACCTCATCTGTCTACTGCGTACAGTTAGGACAGAACGCCTGCTGAGGCTGGAGCCATCTGAGAGAACTTCATTGAAAGGGGAGATCTCTGGGCCTGCGCGGGCCGAAGTGTGAAGGGTCCCCAGGGGGCGCAGCTGCAAGGACAAGGGATTGGCACAGGATGGAGGAGACCTTTTACAAAACACAGAGACTCCAGGAGTATGACAGACTGGGTGAAGACCCCTTGTGTGTGATGTCCTTCAGACCTGCCCCTGCAGCTTGTTTTGAGCAGTAATACCAAGTTCTGAACAGAGCATGAAGACTTCCTCTGGCTCACTGGTGGCAGAATTATCTGGGCAACTTTTACTCCATTTTTGCCTGAATCCTTATTCCAGGGATGAAACTGTCCTCTCCCCCTCAACCAGGACACAGTTAGTGCCTAGCTCTTCGGGCTGGCTACCTTGCAGCTACACTATTGTATTCAAGCCCAACCGGGTATGACAGATTTGGATTTCACCTTCATAGATCGTTTCTTGCACGAATCTCCATAGTCTCCGAAACTAGGAGTAACGTGAGTGCCATTGTCCAGGCCTTTAGAATTCCTATGTTAGGTTTAGTGTGATGCCTAGGGTGAGAGGCAGGACCCAAGTTTAGAAACAAGAAACCCAGAAGTACTCTCCAAGCTGAGCAGTTACAGCTGTTCAGGAGAAAAAGGAAGAATCAGCCGCGGTCAAGGGCCTGAGTAAGCATTGTGATCACTGGGACCGGGCATTGCAGGGCATAGGACACTAAGTCAGGAAAGCAGAAGGAAAGCAAACAAGCAGCTTGGGACTGTGCCACTGTTGTCCACCTGGAGAGTTCACGCCTTCCAGAGTTCAGCCCAGATCCTTTGTAAGGAAGGAAGCATTTTCCTGAGGCTCATTTGCCCTATTCTTGCCTTGAGGATTTGTGTCAGCCTGTGCTTGGTCACTTTGCGTAGCCTAGCTCAGAGTTATCCTAGTATATCCATTTAGATCCTTGGCCTAAAAATACTAAGATTTGAACCAAGGCAAACGAAGACTTGTGTAAGAACAGTGTGAGAAGATCGAGAGTAGCTGTAGAGAATGTTTATCAGGCATTTATGAATCGGGGACTCATCCAAGGCATTGTAAACAGGGAAAGGTAAATGTGCAAGTTAAAAACTACATTTAGTTGCAATATGTCTGAGGGCTTTGTTTAAGAATGTGTTGCCCTTTCGTCACACTCTGGGACACTGGTCTGTCAAATGGACTGTGTTCGTTATACACTGTAAAACATCTGTCAGCTGAGCCGGGGAAGGACTGCGGTCTATAAATAAGTTATCACTTGACCTCCACAGGTGAGCCTTTCTTTCCCAGGGTGATAAACCAAAAAATAGTCCGAGGTAAAAAGTCTGAGGAATCCTCATACTGGATATCCTTAGTCTTTGTGTTGAAGAAATAACTTCTTTGGCTTGCAGATCTGACAAGATCACAGCTGCAGGAAAATGGATAGTGAGGTACAGAGAGACGGGAGGATCTTGGATTTGATAGACGATGCTTGGAGAGAAGACAAGCTACCTTATGAGGACGTTGCAATCCCACTGGTAAGTTATAAGGTGAGCTGAGGATGCTGGGTTAAAATTGTCAACTGGAAAACCTCGCAGAAGGGCTATCGGGGGGAAAATAGTGTGACAAAGAAATCAGGTGGGAAGCTGAGGCAGAAGGATTGCAAGTTTGAGCACATCCTGGGCAACTGAGTGACTTAGCAAGACTTGTCTCAAAATAAAAAGTAAAAAGAGCTTGTGCTGTAGCTGAGGGTAGAGTCCCTCTATTAAGTCCTCAGTACACAATAACGAATAAGAAATCAAAAGCTGTGACATGTGCTAGCAGCTTCTTGAGAGCACCTAGTCTACCTGTTCATTTGGAGAGAAACATCTAGCCTACCTGTTGCTTTGCTTCAGTTAGGGGTGGTACCTGAGCTATGTTCTGTCCACCACCCCAACCTAGATGTAAACCAAATAATAGTCTAGTACGTGAGAGGGAGGAATGGTAAGCAGCAGTGTGTGTTTCTTGCTTCCCTTGTGGCTCATCAGTCTGTTGAATTGGGTTTTGGTGGGGTTTTTTTTGGTTTTGTTTTGTTTTTGAGACAGGGTCTTGCTTAACATTTCTAGACACTGACATGCTCGGAACACCCTTATGCTAGGTTCACAGGAAAATATTGAGAGGATACCTGGCTTCCTGGCTTTTCTTCTTTGGCATTTAAGCCAACTTGGAGCATTTCTTTTCTTTCCTGATCACTAGAAAACTTCCCTGAAAGGACTTTGATGTAATAACTGATCCAAAATCTTTGCTTATACAAATGTTTATTAAAAATCTTATTTATGTCATAGAGCTCTAACATAAAATAGGAAGAACAGGGCCTGGGGACTTTGAAGTATACCAGCCGCAGGAGCAGTTAATACAGTAGGATTTATAGGCATATCGTCTGCTGCGGCTAATTAGCAGACAAAATATTCATCTCACCTACATTTATGAACAAAGGGGAATAATATGTTCCGTGAATTCTGTACATATCAGATAAGTTCGTGTTTGGGAAAATAGTCAGAAGAGCAAACATAATAAAAATGGTAGCTGCCATTTACTGAGTATTGGTTTTATGCACTGGCCTAATGTTGAAGACTTACATTATCGCTAATCCTTAAAACAACCCTGCAAGGGAAGTGGTGTTATCTACATTTTGCAGGAAAACAGGATTGGAGATGGAGATTTGCCAAAAGCCTGGGAACTGATAAGTTGGATTTTGTACTAGGTCTGTGAAGCTCCATATCTGTCTTACCAGCTTTTACTTCCTCACTCATTTCTGTGAGGCCTACTGTGTGCCATGAGAGTGTGGGTATCTAAAGAGGCAATATGTAGAAATACATGATAATTATATAGGTTCTCAGTGGGGTGTGAGTAACTGTAGAGTCTGTAGAGTGGTCAGTTGCCTGGCAGGCAGCAGAAAGGCGTCAGAGAGGATGCAGTGTTTAAGCCAGGTTATAAGGAATGGTCAGAGGTCCAGTTGGGGTCGCTGCAGATACATCAGCAGAAGAGATGTGCACAGGTCTAGGTCTTAGAAATGCTGTGGGAGATGGTGAGATGTTCAGGGTGGATGGAGAGCACCTTTGCCATACAAGTTCACAGAAAAATTGGTCACACACTTGGAGAGGGATATTTGTTGCCACCCTTAGACCTCTTCTGAAGATCTAGAATTGGCTTTCAGAAAGTCAGTTTAGCAGCATTGTTAGGGATGGCCTGAAGTGGAGAAAGGGGTGTGAAAGACCAATTAGGAAGTTACTGCAGTGATGTAGGCTGGGGAACAAGGCCAGAACAAAAATCAAGAAAATGATGGAAACTTACTGAATTCTGGAAGTGTTTATAGCATGATTCGGGACCATTTATGTGATAAGAAATGAGGGAGAGGGAAATTTCCCTAGTGACTTCCAGGTGGTAGCCTGGCTATGTGGCTAATACATATCTTTTCCTTTGCCTTGTGATTCTCATATATTAGTTAGCTTCTGCTGTGTAACAAATTGCCCCAAAACTTAGTGGCTTAAAACAGCTTCTCATTTCACAACTCAGTTGAGAAGGTCTTCTAGTCTGAAGGGCTCTGCTCATTAATGGAAGGCTTGCTTATGTTGAAAAGTCAGCCAGTAACCTGCCTAGAGGTTGCACAATCTAGGAGAGTCTCATGCACATAGCAGTTAGTTAGGAGGATGTCCATAGGTGATGGGTGACTGGGCCTTGGTGTCGTGGTCGAACAAGTCAGCCCAGATTTCAGAGCAGCAACAGAAAGAACAGCAGACCCTCATAGAGCCTAGGCCAGGAGCTGGCCCACTGGCACCGTACCTGCGTCCTATTTCTGATGGGAGTGGCTGAGAAGAGCTCCAGCCATTTTTGCAGTATATTGTCACAAATACTTGTGGGGTTGATACTTTTGTTTTTGCTTTCTAGGTCTTTATACAATTTTATGTGTTGGTGTTCATTGCAACAAACTATAGTCACCCATGAAAGACATTATTTTAGAAAACATCTCACAAACAAACAAAATTAAGCAGAGTTGCCTGCTTCTGAATAAATAATTACCTGAGGGCCTGTTTATTCTTTATTGCCAATAAAGAATTATTAGGGCTATACTTTCTTTTTAGGAAAGTATATTACTGCTTTATAGTAAATGATAACTCTTTCCAAACTGCAAGTATGTTTGAATCTGAGACTTACATGTGTAGAACAGGATGTATATAATTCAAATACACTTGTACATACTGTAATTAATGTCTTTTTTTTTTTTTTTTTTTGAGACAGGGTTTTGCTATGCAGTTCCAGGTTGGCCTTGGACTCGCTTTGTAGCCCAGGCTGGCCTTGAACTGTCAGCAATCCTCCTGCCTCAGCCTCCCAAGTGCTAGGATTACAAGCATGTGCCAACATGCCCAGCTATAAATATCATGTAATATATATTGAACATAAGGAAGAAAACGTATACTTAAAAATTGGAATTTGTTGAGAAATCCGTTGAGTACTAAGTAACAGATTGCTAAGCCAAAAAGTGTGAGTTCATATAACTGAAAAGAGATACATCGGTATCCATTACCTCTGGCACAAAATAGTTTCACTAGTAATAAATTTCAGTGTAAAGTATAAGGATGTGATCCCAGCATCTAGCCTGAGTGTGCCCCTTGGCTTACTATTTTAAGAAAATGGCTGGTTGGGTGTGAATTGTCATTTGCTGTGTGTTGTGTTGCTCTCCTTCACCACTAGGGGGAGAGCTCATCTATTATGTAACCTTTTCTGTGTCCCTGACCAACTCTGCCTTCATGTAACTTAGGCATGGTGGTTACAGCACAAGTTTTGGTATATTCCTTTGACATCAAGTCCAGTATTACTTGACAGTCACCCCTCCAAAAAGATTTAGTGTTGGTAACTTCTGGAGTATTAAATAACCCAGATAGTGCTACGCACTTCATCAGAGTTACCACATTTAATCCTCTGAGAAGTCCTAGGAGGTGGTGGCTACTTTTCTTTCCCACTTGTGCAAAAGGAAACAAAGGTCCCAGGGCTTTGAATGCGTTGCCTAGTTAACCTGGAACGTGGTAGGCCATGAGCTTGTTGCCTCGTTGGCCTCTCTGCCACGCTGTCTCCTGCACAAACTCCAGAATCCCAGTGCCCATTTTCCTACAGGCCAGCTCACCTCTGAGCAGCTCATGTCATACTTTCCTCACATCTGTGTATTTTGGATCTGTCCTTTTGAATACATGTACCAAATACGCCATCTGTTCTCCAGAACCCACAGAGTTTAATCCTGAGTACTTGAGTTTTAAGAAAGCTCTTACAGATCCTTGCTCTGAGTGTCTGTTGTACCTTTCAGAATGAACTTCCAGAGCCTGAACAAGACAACGGTGGCACCACAGAATCTGTGAAAGAACAGGAAATGAAGTGGACGGACCTGGCCTTACAGTACCTCCATGAGAATGTCCCCCCTGTCGGAAACTGACTCCTGGCTTCTTATGGATGGATCTTTCAAAAATATAGTGATACAAAATGTTTTCTTTCAGGTTCCTCATTCAAATCTCTCAGTAATAAAATTAGCACTCAAAAATGGACATCCACCTGCTGTGTAGCAGGAATGCAGAATATTTGGTTCTTTAAACCTAAAATTTTTTGCTCTCATATTTGGTTAAATATTTACCTTTAACTCTGATTTTGCATTGCTGTCATAATTTAACACTTCCCAACTACTTATATGTGTCCTGTGACACAGAGAGTTGAAAGTGTGAGAGGGGTGGGCAGAGGGGAAGCCAGGCGTACGGAGAATGACCAACTTCTCACGTCCCCCCACTGTGAGAAGTCTTGTAAGTGGATGTGACCTGTAGCTGTATATGCCTGTATTGATACATAAGATTCACCAGGGTATTTTCAAACTTTGCTTAAATTTGTGGATTAAAAAATTCCCTGATAGTTAGCCTCCGCTCGCCACACGGCTCCCTTTGGTGCCAGGAGACAGAATCTTTGGCTATTGGACCACTAGGGTTATCCATTAATGGCATTTCTTATGTCCTCAGTACCCTTGGAGATATAACCAAGACACCATGAAACATTTGTCCCTACTAAAACATTTATAAGAATTTGTAATTTGCAGAACACACTCATGTGTATTTATCTCCTGGAATTATTTCTTTTCTCTTTTTTCTTTTACTGGGTCTTCTGTTTAGCTAGCTTTTAGGAAGAAGTACATCACAACAGAGGTGAATTGATCTTAGGGTTTCAACTGGAAATGCAGGGCTGTAGCAGTTCCTGCCTTGCTTTATCAGTGGTCCTGCCTAGAAGTCATTCATCTTCAGAGTAAAAACCCCAGGGCACCAAGAGATAGCCTAAGAGAAAAGTTCAGGAAAAATTTTATGCTGAAAGAACACTAAGCTTTTTGGAAAATTCAAGCACCAGTGGGTATTCTGTCACCCGCCTGTAATGCCGGCACTTGGAAGCCGGTGGCAAGAGCATCGCCATGAATTCAAGGCCAGCCTGGGCTACACGGTAAGGACTTGTCTCAAAAGAAAACCAAAAACCCGAGAGAGAGCCACAGTGTTCTCATTCTCATTAAATATCTTTTCTGTACTTGTGGTATGTGATATCTAACACACTAGCCTGTAGGAACTTCCCAAGTTTTTATTAATCCAGCCCAGTGTTTTTGTTAATCCAGCCCAGCCTTTTCCTGGAATAGCAGTAGACCGGTAAAATATAAAAGTCTTCCTGACTTTCTTTGAATTTAAATGTGATGCCCATGAAACTGCTTTGGGCTTTTCTGCTTGGCTTATGACCTCATCTGACAACTGTCCTCCCAGCAGGAATGGCCTCCTGGGCCAGGGTGTGACCTGAGGTGCAGTGGCAGGACTGCTTCTCAGTATCAGGAGCTGGGTGCCCTGGCTGGGCTGGGAAGACAGCAGGGGCTCGAATCCGTCCGTCTAGGACTGGCTTGAGGATGGCAGCCTCGGAGGCCTCCTGCTGCTGGGTGGCTCTCCAGCCGTGTATTCCAGACTGCCCAAAGGGAGAGGTGTCTGCAGAGGGGGCCGGGGCTGCTGCGGCCTTTGCTTCCTGCCAGCCTTCCAGTCCAAAGCGTTACACAGTTGCAGCTTGGCGCCGCTGCAGCTGTCTTGAGTCCTGGCAGCCACGATTGCTCCCAGTAACCGCAGCTGGTTTTCCCTGCACCGTTTCCCAGCAAACCAGAAATAGAAGAATCCGTCAGAGTGGTGTGTGGACCTTTCCAACCCGACCCTGGCTTCCCAGAGCCTCCGGACTCTTCATACTAGCTCGAGGTAAACCAGGCGCATTCCTGCCAGGATGAAGGGCTTTGTGTGCCAACCCCGTAAGCACGCCTTTCCTTCTGGCCCAGATGGTGGGAATTCACCCGGTCTTGGTGCCCCCTGGAAGCACATTTCCGTCAGTCCCCCGAGCAGTTGCACTGTGCAATCCTGGGTCGTTCTGTAGTCTCAGACGCTTTGGGGCCAGCCCTCGTTCACTAGGGTGTGTTGTCCTGCAACGGCTAGCGCTGTCCTCCGGGCAAAGTGCCGTGTTTGGTGCTGGGGAGGCAGCAGTGAACAAAGTAAGCCTGGCTCCCACTTCTCAGAGGCTTTCTTTATCCGAGGGTTATAAATATTAAGCCCATAGCCGTACAGATGTATGGTTTCGGATTGTTCATCCCATATTAGGAAGAAAAATAAAGGATGTGCCTTAGGTGGGGCCTAGAACCAAAGCCTAAGGCAGTGTGTCCTGTGCAGACGCCCTCAAGAGAGCCGGCGGGGGAAGCAGCAAGCAAAGATGCCGACTCAGCTGCAGCCTCTTGGCCCAGTGCTTCCGGGAGCTCTGGACTGTGATGGAATCAAGAGTTTTCCAGCCTTGAGTAAAGGGGCCAGGGTTACCGACCGCGGATTGTCAGCCTTTGGCTCTGACACGCCCATCACCCCCCGGCACTCCCCTCAGCCCTCTAGAGGAGCCTCAGCCAAGTCTTCAGCAGCCAGTGCAGAGGCTGGGAAAGGCACCTAGATACAGTAAGGGGGACGTGGGCACCAACAGTGACTGCTGCAGGGTACGGAAGAGCCCAGCGGGGGGGGGGGGGGCTGATGTACCCTGGGTAATCAAGGTAATCAAGGGGAGAGCCGGTGATAAATAGCTGTCAGGCATGTAATAGGAACTGCTAATTTTTGGTCCTGAATTCTTTCCATTCTCCAAGGAAGTAGCCAAGTCCTTTGTGCGTCCCATGCACAGCAGAAAGCGGACATGGTCCCAGACAACCTGACCGCTTACCTGTGAAGCAGGGAGAGCGGGAGGGCAGGGGCTCTGAAGCCAGGGGTAGTAGAAAACGTGCCCCGTTTGCTAGCGCCACCCTGACGAGACGGTGGACTTCAGAGGTTTGTGGTTTCTGAAGTTCAACACCGAGTCTTCCTGCCTCCACAAGACCTCCAAACATTGGCGTCACCTCCTTCTAGGGACCCCTCAGACTTGGCGGTAAGGAGCGGCGAGAAGAGCTGCAGTGGGCCAGGTGGACTGAGGACCGGATGTCCTCACCCATTTTCCAGCTCGCTCATGAGTGCCTTGAATGCTATGAGAATTTTAAAAGGAGATGGAACAGCGGAGTGACCACACTTCATTTCGGTTGCGGTGCAGCCAAGTGGGACCGAGCAGATTTAATTTGGTTAGAAGATAATAAAATGCCATATTTCTTGTACTTGCCTTCCACTTACTTTTGTATTTTTTGAGACAGGGTCACTATGTAGTTCATGCTCACTTTGTGAGTCTTGAACTCACAGTGATCCTCCTGCCTCGGCCTCCCGAGTGCTGGACTTACAGGCGTGCTCTAACTCTCCTTCCATTTACCAACACTTCACTGGGGACTGGGCTACAAAATTCAGATCTGGCAGTCTCAAGGTCAGTGTTATCTTGCCTCAGGAACAGGGAAGCACGCACGGCTGCATGCCTGCGGGCTATGGACTATGGATGCATGCCCCTTGGCTACAGGCAGACTGCTGATAACCCAGCATTCCTGAGGAAGACAGCATCGGCTGGGACAGTTGTCAAAATACGGGTATCTGGGTATGGAGAAAATCTGGTTCCTCAATGAATTTATTCCTTAACTACCCAGTGTCTACAGTGGCTATTCCAGGAAACTCAGACTACACTAGACCCTGTGCTTCTTGCCACTAATAAAAACAGGCCAACCTGGGGGTAGCCAAGCCACTGCTCTAGAGGCAAATCTACTCCCAGTCCCCCTCTGTACCTTGAAAATTGTCTCTGTTTTTCTTTACTCCCCATCATTTCCCCAACAGGTAACTGAGGGTCTGATCAGGCCTTCGTACACTTAACAGATGGGTAGGAGAATCTAGGGGAAGAGCTGGAAGGTGAGAATTGATTACAGAGAGAGGAAACTGTTAAAGCCATCACTAGCCAGATGGCTGGGGAGGCAGGGGTCTTGTTAAAATGTTTCAGAGTCATTGAGAAGTTTTAACCAGAGATGAAAGAATAGCTTGGTGAATTTTTTTAAAAATCTAAGTTACACTGGAGGATAGATTTTCATGGGAAACAAATTAGAAGAGCTTTATATTGGCTCAAATGAGAGATGGTGGCTTGGACTAGCAAGATGGAGACAGAGGTAGGGGGACTTGGCTCTTGGAGGCAGAATTTTCCAGGCTTGCTCACTCTAAGGTGTATTTAATAAAACCAGCACCCCAATCTCAGTTATGTGGGTCTATCAGACTTGTGTGTCAACTAAATGATGTGTCAACACCTGATGACCCAGGACTGAGTTCTCTGAACCAGACACAGGAAGCAGATACAACTTGTGCCCTCTGGAAATTGTGTCCAGTATCTGCCTGTCCTTTGAACCCCACCTTAGCCCCACCTCTTCATAGTGTAGCAACAAGGACAGCTCTGAATAATCAAGCACTCCCTGATCTCTAGCTCTTTCATACTTGGGGCGGGTGGAGGGCAGGTCATTGTCCTCTTTGATCAGGAAATGGTGATTTAAAGTTAAATGCCTTGTTCCAAGTTAAAGTTAACTTGTTTCCTGTGAAAGGATTTATTCCAAACCACTTGAACAGTCAGCGTATTCCATCCTGGGCTGTCAGAGCTCAAAGCTGTGCCCCCTCACCAGACTTTTACCTCTGTGAACCCTCTGTGGCCATCTCTTTTGGGAATGGGAAGAAAATCCTATCAGGACACTCAGAACTTCCAAATGTTGACTTTTTTTTTTTTTGAGACAAGGCCTCCCAAGGTAGTCCAAGATGGCTTAGAACTCACTATATAACCCAGGTTGGCCTCGAATTTGCAGTGATCACCTCCTGCCTCAGCCTCCCAAGGGCAGGGATTATAGGCATGCACCACCACGCCTAGCTTCTTGACTTTGTTTCTATGGTGGAGACAACTGAAAGAATTTTTATTAGAAACCTGGGAGACATGAAACATTTAAAAATTCAACAGCTTATTACCAAAGTCATCTATAACTCATAACGTTGCCACCATGAGTCATATTATTGTGACTGTTTTTTATATAAGGTTAAATCCAGCCTAAGGCGTGTTACAGTAGTTTAATGCTAATGCCACGTGGAGTCCAGCAGGGGGCGCCCAATCCTTTCAGAAAGTTTGAATCTTGCCCTCAAGCTCTGAAACTGAGCATAGCTTGGAAGTGATTCTGCCTGTCAAGCCCGGGTAGGGGGTTTTGTACGAAGATGCAGTCCTGCTGGGATTCTGATTGGCCATGCCTGGACAGAGTAGCTCACCTTACTGGTGGGTCCTCACTAGTGCTTTGTGGAGGTCCCGGTGAGGGCACACTGCTGGAGGGCTGTCTAGAACCTTGATTTACAGAAAAAGATGGCCAGAATCAGGAATTCTGCCTGCTTGTGACCCCAACTCATACTCAGGCCTGGGGCTCTTTCTTGAAACTATTTCCCACCTACTAATTTTGGAACGAAAAGTCCACACTCTCATTTTGCCCTAAGCCTCCAAAATTATTATGCTAGTCCTTGAGTCTATGGCAGTCACTGTGAGGATTCCGTGTTGGGCAGTGACTGCCTCAGCTGAGCAGAGGCCCTTGCCTTGGAACTGACAGTTCAAGGACAGCAATTGATGGCAGGTAGGTCCAGGAGAAGCAGCAA